CCACCTCAAGCCAGGAGTTCTACCGGACCACCACATGAGGCTCAAACTTCTACCAAACCATCACTTAAGTAGGGGTGTCAATTTTGGGTCACGGGTCGGGTTCGGGTCGAACCCGAAACTGACCCGGCACTATTCGGGTCAACCCGAACCCGACCCGTTTTTAAAAAACGGGTCAGTTTTCCTGACCCGAACCCGACCCGCTTCGGGTCCGGGTCAACCCGACCCGACTCGAATGACCCGTTTCCAACAAGAAAATGGCTAATTTTCGGGTCAAAAACGGGTCAAACTCCTCTTTTCGGGTCAAAAACGGGTCAAAATCAGGTCAATCTCGGGTTGTCGGGTCAAAATCGGGTTTTCGGGTCAAAATCGGGTCACTTTCGGGTCAAGTTCGGGTCAAAGGGTTAACCCGAACCCGACCCGATTTTTGAAACGGGTCGAAATGCTGAACCCGAACCCGACCCGTTTCGGGTTTGGGTTGACCCTAACCCGAAATTTTCGGGTCGGGTTCGGGTCGGGTTTTCGGGTCGTGTCAAATATTGACACCCCTACACTTAAGGCCCAAACTTCTGCCGGACCACCACCTAACACCCAAACTTCTGGCGGACCACCACCTGAGGCTAAAACTTCTGCCGAACCACCACTTGAGGCTCGAACTTCTACTGGGCCACCATCTAAGACCCAAACTTCTGTCAAACCACCACCTGAGGCCCGGACTTTTATCGGGCCACCACCTGACTCCCAGAGTTATACCAGAGTACCGATCTACTACTACGATCATTCTGACCCCAATCTCATGCCGACTATGGTTCTTCCGACCTCCGTCGCCTACTATGTCTTTTCTAACCTCAATCGCCAAACAACGATCTTTCTGTCCCTTATCTCGTGCCAACTATGGTCCTTTCAACCTCCCTCGCTAGTCAACGGTCTTTCTGACCCCTATCTCCTGCTGACTACGGTCCTTTTGACCTCCATCACCTATTATGATCTTTTCGACCTCTATCCTATTGACTATGGTCATGTTGACCGAACAAACATGTCTATGTTAATTATTGTAACTCTCATCAAGTGATGCGCTCTATATGATGTACATTTGTGACATAAAGCCAAGGCCTTCTCTCAAAGAAGGGCCTCATTTGTAATCGACTACAAATACTAGTGGATTCATTCAAATTGGGCAATGCCCCATGTTTTTTTTTTCTCTTTTTTAGAGTTTTCCACGTAAAAATTTTGGTGTCTCTTATGAATAATGTATTATCTTTTTTTTATCTGATTGCGCGCTGGATCTTCGCACAAAGCTAAGACGTTAAACTTTATATAATTCTCTACCGCCGCGAATACTCCAGGACACAATAATAATAATATTAATAATTACTTTTATAAATTAAACAATGTATTGCGATGAAATTCTCAATGAAGTGTTAAAAAAACTTCTCAACAAAGTATTAAAAAAACTCGAAGCATTTCTTGCATGTATTCATCTTTATAAGTTGGCTAATAAACAACCCTTATAAAATGATTGAAAGTTAATAAAGATAAATATTAACTTCATAAAAGTCAACTTTGTAGTTGAAAGGTGAGACCATGAGATTCACCAGATCTGAGTTCTCTACCAATGCCTTCTCCCAAGATGCCTTAGCCAACATTATCAAACGTATCATAAGACTTCACAAATGATTCCTTCATAGGCAACAATTTTAATATTTTTGTTACTTGCTAGAAAGTTATTGGGATAAATGTTTGTTAAAAGCGATTAAAACCACAACACAAGGAATCATAAGCAATTAAAATGTTTGATATTTTAATTAGAATCTTTTGATGAAACACTTTCAGTCTTATCAATTACAACATATTTAGCATCATTGAAATATTTTTTGTTAAAATTGTTAAAACTACTACACGAGAAATTAGAAGCAATTTAAATGTTTGATGTTTAATTTAGAATCTCTTGATGAAACACTTTAAGTGTTACCCATAATCACTTGATGAAGCACTTTCAGTCTTAACCATTGCAACATATTTAGCATTATAGCAATTGCAACTATTTTTTCTTGACATCTATAAACTGCTAAAAAAATCTTCTGAAGCGAAATATTTTTGTAGCAATACATCAACTATTTTTGAATTATTACGTATTTATTTATGGTGATTATAACTATTGGTAATATATAAAATGCCCATGTAAAAGTTTGGAATTGATATGATACAAATTTTCATGGCTTGGTTTTACTTTGTGATCATAATATTAGCGAATCAGAAACTTCTGTCTTAAGGACTTTCAAACTATTGAAACTTACGATCCATTAATAGAGGGACCTTTTATCTCAACTCTTGTTTCATGATAGCTAGTTCAACAAGAGCCTTATATGCTGGGATTCGTGAAGAGTAGCACCTTACAATGCTCATAACTAAATGGATCCTAAAATACCAGTAGATACTAGATGAGACATCTTTGATCATCTATAATGAAAAATAATAAAAACTTCCTTAATTCTTATTAAACCCATAATTCTTATAATACGACTAATTAAATTACAAAATTTCTATAAACAAAAAGATGAAAAAAATAATGAAATGAATGCCTATCTCTTATAATTGCCAAATTGCTCTTTAACCCCTTTCTTCACTTTTACTATGCCAATTTGGCATTAAAAATGGTCCATTTTTAAAGCTCCGCCTACCATAACTCCACCAACCAACCAAAACTTAGGACTTACTCTTAACTTTATCAGTTGTAATACCAAAAGCCTTCTATGTGTTGTCATTTATAGCATAAAAAATACTTCCACCTCCGACATTTCTAAAATCTAATTAAGCTTTTAAAATTCATTTGCTTTTGATTCCTATCAAAGTTTCCTTATTTTTATTATTATTTGGTGATATATTTGAGATATAGAAAACATCTTTATTGTTCCTTAACCCCACCATTAGATGTGGTCTCCAATAGGAAAAGCACCAAACATAGTGGACAAAGTTGTCATCTTTAGATGATAAGATATGCTTTACTATTTTAGACCCAAACAATTAGGGATTTTGCTTTGCAAAAATGGCAACCAATGAGGGGGAATTGGATAGAACAATTGCATGGCTATTTGTTAGTTCAAGCTTTAAGTTAAAATTACTTTATTCTACCTTTTCATTGATGATATATCTATCATATTTTTATGACATTAATAGAAGAATCAAAATAAAAAGAAAGGAGATATAACAACAATTTGTATATTAATGTATGACGCTATATATGTTGGTGAGACATATTTGTTATAAGATGTATAACAAAATCAAATAAGTATACAAAGAATTTATTTTGAGCGAGTGTCACTGTTGGATTCAAATTTGTCCATAGTCAGCAGCAGTAACTAAAAAAATGAGAAAAAAATACATAAATTAATCTAGATTGGATGTATTACAAAATTTCAACAAATGATCAAATGTATTAGACTCACCTTTATAGGTATGGACTGAGACACAACGTTATAGAAAAATACCGCATTAAGGAAATACAAGTAAATTATATAATAATGCTTAACAAGTATTTGTTATAAAATGAATGAACTTAACCTATGGCCAATACATATATAAAGAGTATATTTTAATTTCCTAGAAGGGGCCAAATTCATATCAAGTTGACTTCTAACTTCACTAATGCTCTTCATGTACTGCCAAATATATTTGATACCCGATGAAAAGCCCTGACAAGTTGGGGGAACTTTCCTCTAATCATCCTTAGGGCTACATTTGCTTTCGTGCAGTTACTTTGCCTGACTCAAACTCGATAGGCAATTCATCATATTCTATGCTATCTTCTTGACTTGAAATCGGCCCATTGAGATGAGTCAACTTGACTTGAATTTGATTTATTTTGATCAGTATCGTAGTCCAACTTGACCTAGATGAATACAAATGTGCAATCACCTCCAAAAAAAAAGTGTTAAATTATAGTTAGAGGTGTTGTTGTTTGTTTTTTAATTATGCCAACTAACAAAAAAAGCATTATTTTCCAGTCAAATTAATTGAATTCTCATCTATTGCTAGAATGCTCACACAAATGCACATCCCAAGGTATAATGTCACATCATGTTGAATATTTTTCTAAAAAGACTTCCATTTTGTTCCTCAATATCTAAGGATCACATAAAATTTTTGTTATTTCTTCAATAGATAGAATATAAAATGTCAAAAGCATAGCTAGCATTACAAATATAAACTAATTCTTGTAAGAATAAATTAAAATAATTTTGGTCAAATTATCATCATCAAGGACCATGGATTCATGTATTAGAACAAAAAATGCTTCACAATTCATAGATCAAACAAAATTTTTGGAGGGAATATTCATTTGGGACGGCTTTCTTATTACTTTTTAAAACAGTTTTTTCGTATGAAAATTAAAATTTTTGTCCTAAAAATTTGTTTTAAGAAGCAGTAAGAAAGCCATTCTAAGCGAAACCTTAATCTAAAAGTTAAATAAGCAAAATTAAAATCAGAGTATTGTGGAGCCAAATGATTATATTCTCATGAAAAATTTGACATCAAACTGTCAGTAGCTTGAGAACTGTGACAATGATGCACGTTGCTGTTCAGTGATTTGTTCCATGTCTATTTCATAGCAGACAAAGTCATCAACACCAACTGTTATTTGATAAATTGGCTATCCAACAACTACCTAGACCCCACCTTCCTCCTCTTCATCATTTTTGATTCTCCATTGTTTCCTCTCTTTATACAGCTAATTTCGTATTTACTATTCTGAAACAACAAACGAGAAAAAAACTTCAGCTGATGCATGAGGCTAAGGCTTCATTTGGAACGACTTTCTTACTGCTTCATAAAGCAGCTTTTTAGTAAAAAAACAAAAAAAAATTATACTAGAAAGATGCTTTATGAAGCAGTAAGAAAGCCGTCCCAAACGAAGTCTAAGACTGTAAACACGTAAGCAATTTTGTTATAATTGTGCTTTTATGCTCATGTAGCAACTAATATGTTCATGATGTTATGAAAGGAGCTGAAACAGACTAAGTTGTATTCATAGTTACAGAAGAAGAGACTGGTGACTGTAAATGAAAGAATGAGTCTCCTGTACAAGTTTATTTCTCCATTTGTCCACAAAACTTCAGTGTTCTTTATGAGGTAATGAGGAGAAGAAACAAAACTAACTACAAAAAGAATGGTTATGTTGCAGAAGTTTACCCTGTGGTGTATAATTTACCAACACTAGCTGGCTTGCTTGCTCACTGTACTCAATGAAACATATATCAGTAAGAGTAAATATGCAACTCATCATTTATGCACATATTTCATGTTGAATCACTAGCTGAGCAGTTACTTCAAGCCACGAGCGAAGTGCTCCGATCGCCGCTCTGTAAGCTCTGATCGTTGTCCGTGGTGATAATTTACAGACGGCGTAGCGGCTGAGAGGCAAAAGGCAGGCTGAGCAGCTCTGTTGATGATGGTTCTGAATCTTTGTCACTTCAGTTCAGGCCTTGTTTGGTTCGCCGTAAGTTTTCCATTTTCGATTTCAATCGGTGAAAAAGTTACTATTTTACTGTTTGTTTACGCAACTTTTTCAAAACACCTTTTGCTACACCTATGTATTTTCGTGGATCTGAGACAAAAAAAATTCTGATTCTCCGTTGTAATACATCCGTTTAAGAACGAAAAAAATGTTGGGGGGAACCAAACGAAGCCTCAGACATGAACAGATTGCAGGAGCGCTTGCCACAGATGTTATATGTTTATATGTACACAAATGCTTCATGTGTCTTCTATGAAAGCTCTGAATATGAAATCTCTGAAACGTTTTGCATATTGCTTGGGATCGACTGAAGATATTGAGGTTGGATCAAGATGAATGGACTTGTAAGCGTGCTCTAGTTTCTTACTGATATCGTAGTCCTGAAGAATGTCTATTATACCAAAGAACAATATAACATCATAGCACTGGCCGGTCGGTTCGCCGATCAACTGTGTTTCATAGTCGTTCCTTCTTATCGTCAGCTCAACTCTTGCTTGCTGATTGACACCTAATCTGATAGATCGAAATATACAGTTTAATCAGATCTATATTGTGTCAAAGAAGGATCTTTTCAGTTCTTACTGTTGCAGGATTAAAAGATTGCCATGTAAATGATATCAAAGGAAAGGAAGATGAAAATTTTAAGTATTTTTTCTCAAAATTTAGCTTGCTGGTAACAAATCTTCTGATAGGTCAGTTATAAGAATATTACCGCTCTGCAACAGTAAGATTGGAGTCTAATATGGAAGGACTTGGACATCCCATGTCGAATGCTGCATCTCTGAAATGAACACCCACCAGTAGACTGTAATCCATGATCCTCTCCTGTTCTAGGAATTCACAATCCCTGTCTATTTGTCTGTACATGTAAAAGATAAATAGATTCAGAAAAAAAAAGCATTCTTTATCAAAATACAAATTTCTTGATGATGTCTGTGTTGGGAAGAAAAGTAGGAAACTAAACAGACAAGGAAAGAAAATAGTGGAAAGAAACGCTAGTATTTAACATAAAAAAATTTGAAACCAGAAAGAAACCACAGAGTTAGACCGCACCAAAAAATTCACTATAAAAATTAGGAGAAATTATAACAATCTTCTCACACCTCTCTCTTCATTCCACAGATATAATAGACAAAGAAATGTTTTTTAATACACCAAAAGACATAATCCTTCAAGTTAGAATAAGAAAAAGAGGGAAGAAAAACTGTTCAGCCTGACTCGCAGTGCCTGGATGTGGAGGGCCGCAGTGCTCCGCTCTCTGTCTCCTTCCCAAGCTTGGAGTACTGCTGCCTTCCAACATACAACGCTTGTACGGGAAAAAAAAATATATGTAGTGTTTCAGCGCAACATACAGCCCCGAACCCCAAGATGCAGGAGCATTGCCCCCCTTACCCCCCCACCCGACGAGCTCGTCGACAGTATTTAAGTCGGAGACAACATCACAACATAATTGATTAACACAATCAGATTCCACACAAAACTACCAGATTGATTCATCATGGTGAAAAGAGAATGTAATGCTCACCTCCGGAATTCACGTGACCAAGGTTTTTGCAATCTGAATATGAAATTTAAATCGAGGTCCTTTAATGTCGTGGTACCATCAATCTCGGATTCAGGTTTATCAGTTATGCGACCGTGGGAAGATCCTTTAAGATCAAAACGCCTGTGAATGGCGTATTGAGAGCAGAATAGATTACCAATGATGACAAACCTCACCTGATTCATTCAAACATAAGAAAGCCAAAAAAAAAAAAAAGAAGAAGAAAGAATCACAGTAGAACTCCATGGCATTAAAACTGCATGAGGAATCCTTATCAACTCATTCTAACCTTCTTCTGCGCAGCACCGGTCAATTTCACACAATGCAGACCAAAAAATTTTGTTACTAGAGTATCCTCGAAAGATCGGACATGGTTGTAGTAGGCTGGAAGCATTCGAATGAGCACCTGTACCATGGAAGAAGACATGGATCAATTGATAAGCTAGCAGAGAGAAAAATAGGCCCTTTGAACTGCTTAGAAAAATGCATTATTGCAGAGAAAACTCACTTTAGCTTCAGATTTCTTGATGGTCTTAATCATGTAACGATCATCGTTGGTCAGATAAAAGAAGCTTCCGCTCTTTCCTGGTGATGAAAGCTCTCGAAGAGCATCGTTTCCGCATATTGAAATCATATAATCAGCTGCATCAACCTTGAAAAGTTTTCTCAGTGTTCTGTAGATTCAAATTCAGAGTTTATGAAAAAGCTCTAACCATGATGAAGGAGAACATTGAAGAAGATCAGCAATGGCTGGAAGGAATCTGAAGCACTGACCTGAAAACCAAAGGGCAGTAATCCTTCCATCTGAAGTCACAAGACTGGTGTGGAGGTGTATGCTTTGTGCCTTCAGGAGGGAACTTTGTCCAGACTTTCTCTTTGGGATCAAAGGCTGAAGATTTCAAATCAAGCGTTGTTGGTTGTCCTGGTTGTCTTCCTACGGCATGTCTGTGCCATTCCAGCAGAAAATGGAAGGAATTAAGCTAAGATCAGAAGAACACAGAAGAATCATGCATTTCATCACAAAAAAAATCAGAGCTTGAACTAGAAAAGCATCTACTTTTGATAGAAATGAATAGCTAGAATCTGCTAAAAACAATTTGACACGCTTGATGGCCTTTTAACCATTCTATTGAAGATGCCAATGTGAAAGGAATGATTCCCTACTCATACAAGTTGAACTCTTCAAACAAAAATAGCTACTTGCTATAAATGAGACAAAAATACAACAATGACAAGAATTCCAAGAAGCCAATGAGAATTTAATTTCTTTGAGATGTTTTGGCCTAATCTACCAACTTAAAAGAAGAAGAATAATTCAACCTCAAAAGCTTCAAAACAAAATCAACAGTGAATCAAAACCAATTCATTCAATCCCTTTACATCCTCCTCTTTATCCATCATAAAAAAAAGGAACATCTCATTTACAAAAACCAGAAAACAAAAGCTATACTTTTTCTTAATTTTCTCCCAATTTCAAACCAAAACCAAATGTAAAAACGCAATCTTTACAACGACATAATATAAAACATCACCTACCGTATTCCAAGCTGCAGATTAAGCATGAGCTCATAATTCTTATGCCACTTCGATATTGTCACCCCCTGTTTCCTCGCCGGCTTCGGCGACAACATCACCGGCAATTGATTCTTCGATGATGATGATGAAGATGACCTCCTTCCCTCGCCTACCCCCTCCTCTCCACCCTCATCTGAGTCCCATATCTTCCCATTGCCATTAATCCCAATCACAGTATGCTTCCTCCCGTTCGCCCTTTTCTGACGTTCTGCTGCCGCCGAATCCGCAGAAACCCGACGCCACGCCGGCGGCGGAAGCTTCCCGTCGGAGAAGTTGAGCAATTTCTGCGATGGAAGAATAGATACGGTTTCGGAAGGGGAGATCTTGCATTCTCTTAAGGCGGTTAAAAAGAACTCCTTTGGGTTGCGCTGAGATGAAGCAGCCGCAGTATGTGAAGGATAATATAAACCTTCCTGCTCTTCCTCCGAATCCTTATTCCACAATCCAATGTAAAGGCTGCCGTCCGCCCACCGGAACCTACCCGAGCCGACGGGTCGACTATCTTCCCACCCGCCGTCGAACCTGTTTCCGCCGGCCCAAGTAAACGAACCTTTTCCATTAATAACTCCGTCTTGCCATTGCCCTGAATATTCGTTCCCGTTTGTCCAAATATACCGGCCGTGGCCGTCGGGCAAACCAGAACGCCATTCCCCGTCATAGTAATCGCCATTGGAGTAAGATTTGGTCCCATATCCATGGCGATGGTTCATGGACCAAGCTCCCTTATAAGTATCTCCAAGTGAACCTGTGTAAGTGCCATAACCATCCATGAACCCGGCTTTGAACTCGCCTTCATAAGTCGAACCAGAAGGCCAAGAGAACTTGCCTTGACCAGTCGTGACGCCTCGTTGCCACTCGCCTTCGTACATGCATCCGTCGGTCCAGAGATACTTACCGATGCCGTGAGGGATTCCGGCGGAGGACCACTGGCCGGTGTAAAAATCGCCATTTGGGAGCAGGCGCTCGGCGTAGTAGAGGTCGCCAATGAGGTCGGAAGAAGAGGAGGAGGAGGATTCGGGGGTGTTGGTGGAGGTGGAGGGGGAGGTGTTGTTGGGGTCAGAGGATTCGTCGTCGTCAGGGGCGACGGACATGGGGGAGAAGAGGAAGCCGCGGCGGCGGCGGCCGAATTGCTGCTGGTTTAAGAATTGGGCTCGCCGGACTGTCGACTCCCACGCCTTTACGCGTTGGTTGTTGCTATCCTTGTACATTATTTGGTTAGATTTCGGCGTCGGATTCTTCTTCAGGTTTGTTCTTCGCCATTAATGAAGGTTGGGGGAATGGAAAGGTGCGATTTTTTTGTGGTGATTGTCTGTTTGTTTGTTTTGGCTTTTTGATTGAAGAATCATAGGAAAGAGATGGGATTTGAGATGTTCCCGGGCTTCCCTGTGAAAAGTTCTGTTCGTCTTCTCGCTTAAATTTTCTTCTTTTAGAAGAAAATAATTGATTTTTATCTTCTCTTTTGCCGGAATTAGCGAGCTGGAGAGAGGGGGAGTTAGTTTCCGTTGGCGGGCCGAATTTAGCGGTCCGAACCGTGTAAGAGATAACGGGCCCGACACTTGGCGGGTTAGAACCGACTGCCGTCCGATTTCTTAGCTTTGGGAATTATTTTGGGTCTTTTTGGTTGGCTGACAAACGAGGTTTGAAATGTCTGAAAATTTTGGATGATTCAAAATAAATAGAGGCAATTTTTTTATATTATTTGAAGAAGAAAGAATGCTATAAGTATTTAAATATGATGGTGGCCGGCGGATGATGGGCGAGCGACAGTGTCAGGTCAACGGTGGATGGCAAGGCAGTCAGCAACCATTGTTGGTGGCTGCGAGTTAGCCACTATGGGAGGCAGTGACTAGAGGCCATCGGTGCTGTCTATGGTGGGAGGCGGCCTGTGGCAAGGTGTCAGCGGTGGCCATGGCTGGTGGCTGCAGTCGACGATAATGAAAAAAATTATAATGCATTTGAAAATCATCCAAATATGACGAATTCCAAATTCGTCAAAATTTAATTAGATGATGCATTTCAAATGCATCAAAATTTTATCTTATTTTTTGTTTTACTTCAAACCATATACCAATAACAATTTTACTTCAAAGCAAATATCTTTTGTGTAATTAATATTTTTTTTAAAATAATTAAGAACTATCGAATAATATTTATATAATTATTTTTTCAGCAATATCATTATGACTCAATATGTTTTGACTTTTATAAATACATAAATAGGATAATACATTCTATTAAATTTATAAATATATAATTTTAAATTCTTTCAATAATTAAATAATTAAAAGAAATAGTTTGTACATTTATTTCAGTCGCAAAAAAAAAAAAATCTATTTTGGGCCAAACGTTGTACGGTGAGTGCCATAAGAATGTAATGAATAATTGGTAAATGATTCTTTTCTATGATAAGATATTTTAATGGATTTGTTTTTTTTCCTTCTCTTTTTGATATTTGTTATGTTGGTATTATTTCTTTTTTTGGGTTTTTTTTTATTTTTCTTCAAGTTAGGGAAAACTTGACTTTTTATTTGGGCAAAATAGAGATGTTTAGTGGTCTGATAGTGGCATGGAGATATTATTTTTAATTCTAAATTATATTTAAAAAATAATAATTTATTTGTATTTGATAAGTCATAAAAATTATCTTGATCGAGCATAAATTTAGATGCTTAGTTGAATTAGAAATTTTTGAAATTAAATTTAGTATAATTTGATCTTTGATTTAAGCAGACTTATAATCGAGATGAATCTAACGATATCAAAACTAATCCAATCAGAGTATGAATGAACTTAGATCGAGCGAAGCGTAATTAATAATTTAGGATATTAATTAGATGACCAAATGATTTTCATATTTTGCGTGGTTATAGTCACATCAAGTGTCTCAAAGAGACGAATCAAATGAGTCCAAGATTGCCTAATTTTAGCAATATTAAGACACTTAAGCTTCATTTGATTGGAAGTTTTTAGTGTTTATTCCGTTTTAAAATGACAAATTCATTTCTTCTTTACTGTTTGGTTCGTCAAATCAAGTTCCCAATAACTCCATTTCTTTTATTTTTCTGCCGTTTTGAGAAAGCTTTTTATATATGTTTCTCCGGTTGAAAACTCCATTTTCTGAACACAGTCTTTTACAAAAGTATCAAAAAACCAAACGAAGCCTTAAATGATGAAAGAGCATGCTCGATCAAAGGAAGCAATATAGAACATCCAATATTGTTTCTGATTTTCTCCACGTTTACGGGGAATGTCCACTTCAAAATCTATAAAGAGACCCCCACTACTCCTTACATGACACCATCGCTAAGCCAACGTTTGATCGCTGCTATCAGACCACCACCTAACCATCATTATCAGACCGACACTATCAAAACATTACCCGACCTCTATTGTCAAACCAACACTCAATCGCCTCTATCAAGCCACTGCTCGGCCACCACCATTAGACCACTATCGCCCTACTGTCCTCTGAAAATTGCCACCCCACTACATCTTGTTGATACCTATCTTTTGATTATGGTCATTCGACCACCATCGCTTAACTATAGACTTCTGATCATCATTGCCCCACTACAATCTTTTAACCACAATTGCCTAACTTGATCCTCCAATTGTTGTTGCCCGACTATATTACTCTGACCTCCATCGTCTAACTATGGTCCTTTGACCACCCTCGCTTGACTATAGTTCTCCGACCTCTTTTTGTCCAATTACGATCCTCTGTCCACAGTTGCTTACTATAATCCTCCAATAATTATCCCCTCGCCACACGGAAGCTCGTTGACTTCATTACCTGCACCAATGCACACCATCACTTAAGATCGACATGTGCCATCAACTCCAACTCTGATTACAACATAAGTACTAGGATTTATGCTGGAATTTTCAACCTGTACTATCCCCTAATTAAAATAGTACAACTAACACTACAGGAAATTTAGCTATTATCGGCGATTCTTTCCGACGGTTAACCTGACATTACCGGCGGTTTTAGAACTAACCGGCGGCTTTTCGGCGGTTCCAAAGCCGCCGATAAAGACGGCGTCGGAAACCGTTGCCAGCGGTGTTTTTTCGACGGTTTATTTCATCGACGGCTTTCCGACGGCCTATACCACCGGTTATTACCGGCAGCGTTCCGGCCGTCAAACCGTCGGATTTACTAAATATAAGGCAAATGATTCCTTGATGACAACTCCTATGCCATAGGCTTTACAAAACCCACTATAGAATTCATTCTACAGAGGTTATATTTATTATATTGTTTCAATATCTTTCTCAATCACGAGAAATCATATAGTTTGTGATTGATGACAAACACTGGCTAAATCATTTCAGCTAGGTCAGGCCTCGCGATTTTTTCCTTTTGGGCATTTCATATAAAAATGTTGGTGTACGTCTCTTGCAACTCATCTTTTGACCAAGTATGTAATAAATTTTCATACAAATGCTAATAAAATAAATTTTCACCATAAATTTTATGACACACACAATAATATTATATTAATATTGTTGTATGAGCTTTTATAGGAGTAGATATAGTGCTACCTATTCGCAAACATCATGAAAACTATCAAGAAGAATGCTCGAGAAGGAATCAAGAATGTCACTGTCAATAAGCCACATGTAGGATTGGGATGCAACCATTCAAAAGATAAAAACTTGAAGAGTACATTTCAATATTTCAAAGCACTTTAAGTATTATTAGGAATTAGAAACATCACTCTATTTGACATTTGATTCTTCCATGTTATCATTATTATTCCATAAGTGCCTTTATAGAAGATGAAATGTTCTTCTAAGATGCTGTGGGAGCTAGCAATTTCAGAGAAAAGAAGAAGAAGAAGAAGAAGAAGAAAGAATTAGGTGATTTTATTTATCAAATTGCTAGTAAATAGAAAAAAAATTGGACACCCGTTGATAAAAGCCCCACAAGAAACACTTTCAAATGACAAGAAAATAACTAATAACCTTATAGTGGACAACCCACCGACATAGTATGACATACAAACCGCAAGAAATCACATGTTATAAAAATCAATTAGTCTGAAGCCACTAAAATTTAGAGCAACCTAACTACTGTTAAGCCACCGATAATGTTATACCAAGGGGGTTAATGATACCTTGAGTAGTTGGGAATTCATGCATCTAAAAAGGTTTAAAGTAGATTATTTTAGGACTATGACATGAAGTATACTAAGAAGGCATTTACCAACATTATGATGTCCATTCAAGCGCAAGGAATTTCTCTCCTCTCCTCACTAAATATTTAATGGATATCACCGAGAAACTATTAATTGAAATAAGAAAATCTTGACTAAACTAGAGGGTTTCCATAGAGCCCATGTAGAGGAAGGAGATAACTCTAATGAGATATTAGATTATGGTTACATTCTAGAGAGGAGGAGTTGGACCTATTTTTATGATGATATAATTTGTTTTCCATCCCTCATAAAAGATGGTTAGGTTTGTGTGGATGCTCGATATGACTTTCTTCTTCATGTTCGCCCTTGAGCTATGACACTTACCACTGCTAGGGGCATATGGGATAAGTAGGTCAAGATTCTCTTATCGAGGATAAAGAAGCTCTTATAACAAGTATATAAGCAATTACATGAGGTAGATATGAAGGTCAATTAGTACACACCAAGGGCCACTATGGAAATGTTGGTCCTTGTCTCCATATCGGTGGTTGTAGAGAATAGGGCAAACCTTCTATTTATAGAGATGGAGAAGAAGCGAGGGGACGTAAATCTCCTCAAGAAAAATATTGATGATGTGGTGGTGATGATTTATGATATGTGCTATTATTAAGAGAATGTGTGTAAGACTTAGATTGAGTTCTATTTAATTAACAAAAGAGTAGGTGATGTACATTGGTGCATTTTCTTTGTAAGCACCTTGTTGGACCAACTTGAAAACAAGCTTAGTGATGTAGATGGTTAGTTATGCCAGTGACTCTTGAGGAGCGCAATTATTTCAATAAAACTAGGGCATATAATTAGAGCACAATACTTTGAATTTTTCAGCATTGACTGATCCAATGATGTTAATGATAATGTTAAATCTATGATTGATATCTATGTTTTGATAAGAAGTTATTATCCAGTATCATATCATCTTGAACCCTACCCTCCTACAATACCCCTAATGAGATGTATCTTGAGAGCTATTATAGTTATTTAAATAGTGACTTCAACTTGAACCATAAATCTTAAATAATTATGTTCTCCACAACACCAAAGAAGATCTCATATGCCAAGCACAAATGAACTTTTTTAATTATTATTTCATCTATCAATATCTTTACTTTTTTACTCAAGATCATAGGAATCTTTGAATGTCCTATGAGGGCAATTACAAGACCTTTTTCGACGAAGTCTACATAAATTTTTATTTTTTAAAGACCAAAATTGT